AGAGAGAGAGAGAGAGAGAGATCCCAGAAATGAATAAGTTAATTATTATACAGGGGACTATACAGGGACAGAAGGGGGTTTTGAGGGGGAGGGGGGGGGGGGCAAATTAAATCTCAAGTCTGTTATATGCATCAATGTAGCTACCAAATAATGTACACCACAGGAAATCTGGGCCATAAACAAACCAAAGTACACTATAATAGCAGGCACCCACACAAGACTGTATGCAACCAATTAATAACAGAGCAATTGTAGATATTTATCTACTCCCACTATTTCCCCTTTTTTCCTTCAAATAAATAATGTTCAAACTTAATTAAAGCCCCAAGCTTGTTTTTAAGGCATCTACGAAACTCAGAGCAGCATGTCTGGTTGTAATATATAACAGTAAATCAGTGTTTTGGCAAAAAAACTTCCCATATAATTTTGGCAGCCATTTTATTTCCTAATCTCATTTCCTGGGCTCATGCAATGAGTGTTTTCTTGATAACAAATTTTCAGTAGAATTTTTGTTCTGGCTTAACTAAATCAAGACATAAAACTGACCCCTAAAGTTTTTTAAAATTAATTTTACCGTTAGTGACTTAAGGGATAATGTGATTGTTTCTGAGCTTCTTTCAGGCAAGGATAACTTGACAATAACATGNATCTATATCAGGGTGATGCAGGATATGCAGACACAGAAGATATGACTTAGGAAATTTTGAAACACACAATTAACATACTTAAAATACGTACACAAATTAGTTTTGGCTGTTAGTGCTCATTTGGTGTGTAACTCTAGCAGGGAGGACAAAATGACATCATGTTTTGGGGGCAGTTGTGTTTCAAATTTATGTGTTCAAGTGGCAAGGGCGTATTTCCTTAATTCTTGGCAAAGAGTGAGATGAAATATTTTCGTTAGCAAATGTTCTTTCGTAACAAAATTACTTTTTTATATCCTTTGCTTTGATGTCGATCAAACGTCTTCTTTCGTTTGCATTTAATGGAGGTGACAATTACCCCGAGTATCAAGGAAGTCAGAGCTAGATCAGCATCACCATGAAAACTGCTATTCCATCATCCTCAGGCCACATAAATAATATTTGCCATAATATGCTAGCACAAACCTTAGATTTGGGAGCAAAAATGTCCAAATTAACAACTCGAGACACGAATTAAGTACCCCAATGTGAAATTAGTGGGCATCAACAAAGCACCAGAGTGGTTTCTGTGTCCTAATTATAATGATGTGCTCATGGCTACTAATTTTGTGTTCAGGTACTTAATTTGTGGCTTGAGTCATAAATTTAGTCACAAATCTGAGGCCCAAGTTCGCAAACTCCTAATCCATTTTTAAGGCCTGATCCTTAACACAGGGATGGGTTTGCAAATGTTTCTTCATAGCCAAAATTTCAATTTTATTCTGTCATTCTATCATTGTACAACTAGTGTCAAGTCAAATAGAAAGTAGCAGTGACAACTGGCAATTGGTGCCGAAAACAATTCTCTTGCAATTAACTTCTAGACACTGGTGTCAATATGCATTACGGAAACATAACTGGCACTTTTAACAGCCAATTCAGCTGACAAATCTGATTAAAAATTATTTTAAATTCTAGTTTAACCTAGTCTCCCACTGAAGCTGGTGCAAAAATCAGAAGTGGTGGTTGTTCACATAATAAGACAACATTATAAAAGATCTCTAATGAGCATGTGTCTGAATCTAAGGTTTTCCGTGAAACACATGCATTTATTTGATAGTATAGAACATTGTAAAGTTATTTATTAAAGACCCTTCAGTAACCAATAATTTAGCATATAAAGTCAAAATTTTAAGAGAGAGAGAGAGAGAGAGAGAGAGAGAGAGAGAGAGAGAGATCCCAGAAATGAATAAGTAAATTATTATACAGGGACAGAAGGGGG